AATTTAAGCATGGAATTAATGTAAGGAAATGTGACAAATCTGTGTCATAAAAATTGCTGAAAATTTTACAGGATTATTTACATCTTATTTTTCTGAAATTCTTTCTGAAAAGTGACCTAATCATCCCTATTGAGTATTCTGTTCAATTGCATGAATTTTAGGATTGTGTAAATAATTTATTTAAAATTTTTAATACCTATGTTACAATCTGAAATTTTCTGGACAGGATAAAATCATCATTTCAATATTGTGTTGGTCTAATCCATCAACTATTATAAATTAGTAATCCCTGTAAGGGTGTGTTGTGATTTATTTAATATTGTGCTAAGTCTAATTTGGTAAATCAAAAATTTGTGCATGGGTGTAATTATGGTTTATTTCTTATATCTAAGTTATTATGTTCATACCATGGTTTAAATTAATTGTCTATTAACTTTTATACGTTGAATTATTTTTGGTGTGACATGTATAATGTTGGGAGTTTTGTTTTAGTTGGTATAACATTATTGGTGATTGAGAATTGAATCATTTGTGTTTAATATATAAATTAACCGAAATGATTAATGGCATATATATAAAGTTACTGACAGAGGGTTAATACCGGGTATTCAGGGTGAGCCCTGGTTTTTAATAACTGTTAAGTAAATTGTGTCGCGAAACCCTAAGTTGGCACGGGGATTATTTGAACCCTTATTGGTATTTGGTTTTGGAATAAGGGTGAATGTGCGGATGGCACGCAGGGAAGTTACGTACCCCTAGCAGACCGTTCCCTTGGGGCAGACCACGGATGTCACGGTTTGGGTATATAACTCCGGGCGTGAGTATCTTTGGTAGTTCTTGAATATTTAACCAAGGGGGGGTTTCCAAATTAACCGTGGCCATGACTTAGTGGTTAGTAAGTTAAACCTCTTTGGCGAGATTTCAAAGGTCACCTAAGTTATTAAAATTATTTGAGGTATTTTAATGGTTGTAATTTATGTTTACGATTATATTATTATCCCGTGTTTATAATCTCATTATTTTCTCTCAAAAAGAATGGTAGGTTGGTTATATTTTCTTACTGTGTTGCAAAACTCATGGCATATATTTTGTTGCCCTGGCGTTTCATGCCAGATTATGTCGAGGAAAGGACTGAGACTGAAATTGGAACTGCTGCTAATATCGAACCTTGGCTAACTTAGAGTCAAGATTTTATCAAAATAAAATCCTGTTATTTCTTGTATTAATATTTAACTATATTGTGACGTTGTGTGTGAACTTGTAGTTTTATTTTGTTGTTGGACTTTGGCTATGTAAGAATTTAAAAGTTCCTAATTAGTATTTAAAATTTTATCTAGCAAGTTATTGTTATTTAAATCTTATGACATTTCAAAAAAAAATTTATATCAAAGTGTGTAGCGGAACCATGTTATTTGGAGTTTTAGTTGAGATTAAATTTTAGAACATTACGGATTGGAATTTTGAGGACGAAATTATTTTAAGGGGGATAGATTGTAACACCCCGTATTTTGAGGTATTAATATTTGGTGAGTGGTATTGGTGGTTTATTATAATAATTTAGTGGTGAGATTTTTAGATGGAAATCAAAATAAAAAAAAAATTATTTATTGTATTTATCACATTTCTTTTATATCTATCTCATTGTTATTTATCCTCATTTAATAATAAATTTATCAATTTTCTTATCATTCCCCATCACATGGAGAAAAAAAAGAAAAAAAAATAAGAACAAAATAAAACAAAACTGTGGGCAACAGCCCATGTTTTCCCCACTTACCAAACCACCCATTTGTTTTGATCTTAGTTTCGGGGTGGTATATTGCCTACCCTATCAGCAATCGCGCGTATAATTCGAGCGACATCGCCATCAGACACTCCATCACCATTACCGTTGTTATTATTTCTTGTTCGTCCAGCCATTCTGCATGATGGGATTTTTTTTTTCTTTTAGTAATTCGTGATTTGTTCATTTATTTATTATCATTGTTATTATTATTATTATTATTATTATTATTATTATTATTATGTGCAAGGATAGTAAAAAAAAACTTCATCATGCAGAATGGCTGGACGAACAAGAAATAATAACAACGGTAATGGCGATGGAGTGTCTGATGGCGATGTGCTCGAATTATACGCGCGATTGCTGATAGGGTAGGCAATATACCACCCCGAAACCAAGATCAAAACAAATGCGTGGTTTGGTGTGTTAAGTCGGGAAAAGATGGGCTGTTGTCCACAATTTTGTTTTATTTTGTTATTATTTTTTTTTTCTTTTTTTTCTCCATGTGATGGGGAATGATGAGAAAATTGATAAATTTATTATTAAATGAGGATAAATAACAATGAGATAGATACAAAATAAATGTGATAAATACAATAAATAAAAAAAATTATTTTGATTTCCATCTAAAAATCTCACCACTAAATTATTATAATAAACCACCAATACCACTTATTAAATATTAATACCTCAAAATACGAAGTGGTACAGCGACAATCGTAGAAAGGTAAGAAAGAGGTGCTACAAAGGAGGGGTGCAAGCGAGAATGGAGATTCATAGAAAGGGAAGAGAAAAGCACGGGAGAATAGAGAGAAAAAGGGTAATTTTGTTATTTAATCAAAATTCATATTTATTTGTAATTATATACAACTATTCACATTTGGTGTGATTGGTGTGATTAATATTTTTCATCCTACCAAATTGTTATTATTTTGGTCTATTTTGTCAACTGATTAAAAGTCAGCTTTTTAGTTTTTTAACTTTTTTTAATCATATCATTTTTTTATTTTTTTGTACTTTTTTTTAAAAAAAAAAAAACTAAAAATTTTTTTTAAAAAAATAATTTGTAACCTACTTCTCAAAATATGTCTCATAACATTTTAAAGAAATTACAATTTAGTAAAAATTTTATAAAATAATTACAGATTTGTGTAAAATTTAAGAATTTAATTATTAAAATGTATAAAATTTATCATTAATTTAAAATTATTTTGTGAAATTTTTATTAAATTGTAATTTTTTCTTTTTTTCTTTTTCTTCAATTTTCGCGCCCCTAAATTTCATTATACAAAAATTGAATCCGACTTTCGTCTTGTATATAGGGGAAGTTATTTGGTGGTTTAGAAATATTGTTTCACATTATTCATTTAAGGATAAGTGTCCAATTGTCTTTTAAAAAAGACAAAAATAAAGAAATTACAATTTAGTAAAAATTTTATAAAATAATTACAGATTTGTGTAAAATTTAAGAATTTAATTATTAAAATGTATAAAATTTATCATTAATTTTAAATTATTTTGTGAAATTTTTATTAAATTGTAATTTTTTCTTTTTTTCTTTTTCTTCAATTTTCCCGCCCCTAAATTTCATTATACAAAAATTGAATCCGACTTTTGTCTGTATTTTCGAATTTTTGGTAATAGAATTAAACCTGTTTTTTTCGTCTTGTATATACGAGAAGTTATTTGGTTGTTTAGAAATATTGTTTCACATTATTCATTTAAGGATAGGTGTTCAATTGTCTTTTAAAAAAGACAAAAAAATAATAAATCCGACTAATTTAACCAATATGGTAACCAAGTTGAAGCACCACATCATACTGTCCCATGAGCAAAGAAAAATTTTCCCATACACACACCTAGTTAACCAAGTTGAAGCACCACATCATACTGTCCCATGAGCAAAGAAAAATTTTCCCATACACACACCTAGTTGTCACTGTGAACTACAGGGAAGGCTCTCTCTCTCTCTCACTTTTGTCTTTGGTGGTAAAGCTCCATTAATGGCAAGACCATCGTGCAATAATATATTCTTCCTGGGTCCACCATCTCTCTCCCTCAAACGCATCTGATCTCCTTTACTCTTTGTGGGTTTTCCACTATACACATGTATGTATTTCTGTCTGAATAACATGTTTATATAATTAATACATACATACATACATATTTATATATATATGCAGATAAGAAGCAAACAAATACACACATCAGATTCGAATCAGATTTCACGGGTTTGCTTTTTAATTAGTCCCTCCCTCCTGGTTTCTAACATTGGTTCTGACATTAATCCTTGTTCTTTTCTGTTTCTTTTTATATGTCTGTCCATGAGTCCAATGTTCTCACTTATTTGCATATTTATATGACAAGATTTCAGTTAAAATTTTCATTTTTAAACAATTGCCATTTGGGTTTATGCAGTTTCACTTCATATCTTTACATATGCATGTAGTCATTTATTTGCTTATGGTATTTATTTATTCTTTTTGGTGTTTCTTTTTAAATTCCATATAGGTAGTACCATCCTTGGTTGGTTTTCCAAGTTAAATGACTCTAACCACGTAGGGTGACCTCGGGCTAGACCTAAGGACCCTCATAATCATTTAATTATTAGCAATGCTATAAACCATTAATTTATCATCACTAATACCACCACTAGTGAGGTGGCAATTGAAAAAAAAAAAAAAACAAGGCGCAAAACATATGTGGCAGTGGGTGAGAGCCACCACTAATTAGTGGTCTAAAGCATTTTTGTTTAATTATATGTGACTGTAAGGTGTGAACTCCTGCATAGATAAAAGAATAAATTATAAATACACTTGTTGAGTTTTGATAAAGAAAAATACAAATTACTCTTTGCGGTTTCAGGAATTATATCTGACTCTTGAGATTTCTAATTTTATAATAAATTGTTCATTTTATTAATAAATTATGAAGTTAATTGATAATTTTTAATGATATTAGAAATATGTTTCAATTAATAATTTAAGTAATTTTATTATTATATAGGAGAACAATTATGAATTTTATTGTTTTAGTTAATTCTGTTAAATAAAAAATTCTAACAAAAAATATTTATAATTTTTTAAATCACAAGAGATAATTTGTACTATAAGCAAATCTTATGGGGTGAATTTATAATTTACCCCAGACGTAAATTTAAATCTACATTCATGACACTTGAAGAGTGAAATTGGGACCTCAAGATTTCCCTGGTTATTTTCCAAGTTCACGTGAACCTGTGCATATTCTCTTCTTGATCTCACCAACTTTTTGAATTCCAAGATATATTTTTTTTCTTTTTTTGTTGCTTTTATATGCATAACACAAAAGAATCCATCAACCACTAGTAGTTTATTTACAGCAAAAGAGTATGCCAACAATGCACCGCCTTATATGCCGAATTAAAGCAAAAATACAAAGACAGTCCTTTTTTGTAGTTACTGTACAAAAATTGTAATCAACCCATATGATCTCATTCTAAAATTGCGCATGTATGCCTATGCACATGTATATGTATAATACACAACCCATTAAGCATTAGCTACAATTTGATCAAATGGCATCTTTTCAGTGGCTTGGTTTTAGCTATCAATACCAGTGCTCTTTTAGATTCTCTGAATTTAGATCAAAGAAAATCAGTGTAGGAAGCTATAATATAAGGTGTGAAGGAAGAGATTATTTGGGTTTAGATGATCAAGAGAGGGATGGCAAAAAGAGGCTGAGAATTCTGATAGCTGGCGGGGGTGTTGGGGGCTTAGTCTTGGCTTTGGCAGCAAAAAATAGAGGGTATGATGTGAAGGTGTTTGAGAGAGATTTGAGTGCAGTGAGAGGTGAGGGTAGGCATCGCGGCCCAATTCAACTCTTGAGTAGTGCTTTGGCAGTGTTGGAAGCCATCGATAAGGATGTTGCAAGGCAAATTGTTGAAGCCGGTTGTATTACCGGTAATAGGATCAATGGCCTTGCAGATGGCCTTTCAGGTGAATGGTATGCTTACCTACTTCAAGCTTTTGTTTATCAATACTTACTAAGTCGTGTTTGTTCTTGACTGTTATAGAGGTTAAATGTTTATGAACAATAGAGAGAGAGAGAGAGAGAGAGAGAGAGAGACATGATTTTGGTGTGAATAATCTCTGCTAAGGGACAGGAAAGAAAAATATAACTAATTGATTGAGAAATGAAATTGTTTTTAGGTACTTCTTTTTACTTATCTTGGATTTTCTGTGAAATTAAAATTGGCATATAACTTCACAAGGTTGGTGTTCTTGGGAATTTTGGATTGATATCATCGCTCTTGCAGAAGCAGTGATTTTCTTTTGGTTTTGTTTTCAGTACTATAATTATTGATCATTGTAAAGCCTGCCATTGAACAGACCCAACATGGATCTTTTAGTTTGTAAGTGAAATTTGAGTGAGAAGGATCTTAATTTCTCATTCATATCACTTTGTCCCACAACTCTTGAGTGTTCATCGAGGCAGTTTAGGCTTGGATTCCAACACTGAACCAATCAGCGTCAATTTCCTATAAGTATCTCATGGATTTTGAAGCCAATGATATTTTTTCCAGAGTGGAGATTCCGTGTGCTACTTCCCTGTGGGAATTGTATTGCAACTTCAATTTTTCATTGTTGGTTCTGAACCAAGTATTTGATCAAGTAAAAGAATACTTTGCTTTCTGTTTCGGCATATAGAGTTTTCATAAATATGAAGTGGTTTCATGGGGCACGTTATGAATATAGTTGTAGGCATTAGAGAAACATAGATTATTGCAAATGAGCTCCATTGTGCTTTTCCTAACTCTTTGGAGTTGGTACATGATTCAAGTTTTGCATACCGTTCAACAAGAATCAAGTACTGTATGATCTTGATATCAATTTTAAATATCTCATATCTGGTTGCATATACTTGTTATGATGTTTTTTTTTTTCTGAAATTACACAAATCTTATTTGGTTTTCTGTTGTATGGTCTGGCAATGCAATAATAGTCGCCTCCAATCTAAAGGCAGAAGTTGTTTTGGAAAGTACTTTTTGCATTTTCGAAAGTGATTAAAGGTAATCTTTCGGTTGGCTTTGTTTTCTCACTTCAGGTTTACAAAATTTGATCTATTGACGCCTGCTGTATCAAGGGGGCTTCCCATTACCCAAGTAATATGTAGAATAGCACTGCAAGACATCTTAGTGAATGCAGTTGGGCAGGACATAGTTAGTAACAACTCTAAAGTTGTTGACTTTGTGGAAGACTCTAACAAGGTCTGAAGATTCTTTGTATGTAATTAAATCTCTGATTTTTATTTTTTTTAAAAATTTTATGTACTCTCTAATCTATTTTTATGTATTATAGGTCAAAGTAATTCTTGAGGATGGAAGGCAGTATGAAGGTGATGTGTTGGTTGGAGCAGATGGAATACGGTCAAAGGTAGGCGGCACCGCTCTCACTCTCTACTAACCTTGCTTTTTGAATTACACTTATTTAGCCAATTCTTTCTCATTCCCCTTATGTTTTACTATTTTTTTTAGGTACGTTCAAAACTATTTGGGGCAAAACCAGCAAACTATTCAAATTATACATGCTATAGTGGACTAACAAACTTTGTGCCACCATATATTGATACTGTTGGGTACGTTCTTAGTTTCATATTGTGAGGCATGCTTCAGAAATAAAATTAATGTTGCAAAATGGGAAAAAAAGTAGTACTTCAAAGAAAGAAGAAGAAAAAGATAATTTTAGGAATCATTCTTAGAGAGCTTAGGAATCATTTTTAGGAATCATTCTTCAAAGCTCTGAAATTCTATAAAAATCTCATCATTATTGAATTAGAAGTAATACATAGCTTTATATAGAACTAAAAAGACTAATTTAACCAGCTAGAACCTAAAGAGGAAACTACTCAACAAAAAGGAAACTTCTAAAAAACTTCAAAATTATAACCCATTCTGGTGACTTAAACATATTAAACCAAAACCAAGACCCATGGGTCAGCACAACGACCCATTCTTGAGACTTGATCTAGAAATTTTGCAAATTAAAAAAATACCCTTGACCCTAAAATTCAACCAAAACTCACATAAAACATATATAGGACTTAAAATTACTTGAAATCATATTGTGCAAGTTCCTGTGGGTTTTAGTATTGAATGTGAGCCAAATTCCATAATTTTTTGCAGCTTTGAATTTGCTTTTCCTAGAGCATCTTATAGATTGCATCAGTTACTTTACAATTGAATTGTTTATTCTCTTTGAAGCTGCTTATATAATTTTCGATTTTCAAGATCCTTAAAATTTGTCAGTCATTGGTACAAAAATAGAAAGTCCATGGATAGCATTATCCCAGAGTAACAAAATGTTTGGTTTTCTTATTATCGCATTGTGCTATGGTAGGTATCGTGTATTCTTGGGATTGAACCAGTACTTTGTTGCTTCAGATGTAGGGAGAGGGAAGATGCAGTGGTATGCCTTCCACAAGGAAGCTCCCATGAATGATGATCCTCCCGGAGGCAAGTCTCGCGCTCACTCTCACTCTCACTCTCCCTACACAAATTCGTTATAATGTGTGATATGTAACTATGGTAAAGTACTTAGCTCTATAAAATTTCAGCTTAAATTTTGTCTTTTGATGTTTCAGGTAAAAAGGTGAGGCTTCTGGAACTGTTTGGCAGCTGGTGTAGCGACGTGGTTACACTAATCTCAGAAACACCAGAGGATATGATTTTGCAAAGATATATTTATGATAGAGATATGATCTACTCGTGGGGAATTGGACGTGTAACTTTGTTAGGTGATGCTGCTCATCCTATGCAGCCAAATCTTGGTCAAGGGGGTTGCATGGCTATTGAGGCAAGTAAATTTGATCTCTAACATATTAACATTATAAGCGTCACTTGGAGAGCATGTGGATACATTTTGGTGTAAGAAGCACGAACACGGATATGACACACCAACATGCCAATTTTCAAATAATATATGTAGTTAGATATATTTATTATATGTTATATTGAATATCTCATTCAAAAATGATAATAATAAAAAACATGACACTAATTCCTGTTGTTTAAAGGACAGATTAAGCATAAATCTTTTTTTTTTTATTTTAATAATTGGATCTCAAGTTATTTTGTTTAAATGTGCAATATCTTTTATGTGTTTCTAAACAATGGATACATGTGTGCCAAGTGTCCAAATTGTGTCCACATCTAAAAATATTTAAAAAATAATAGGATATGTTCGGACGTGTGTCCGACACATGTTGGGATGTGTCCCACACCACACAGACACGCTACCCTCTTAGAACTACATCCTCTTAGAACTTTTTAGTGTCTCTCTGTGCTTAGATTTTATCCCATTCATTCTCCATGTCGTCTGAATTGACTCTGTTATTACTCAGTAACATAGATCATAGTAATTTGAAAATGAGATCATTCAAGATGTTGCCAGTGAATTCATTTTTGGGTGTGTGTATTCTCTCTGTCTTTTTTTTATCCTCTCCTTAAACCATTGAGATTATGATTTTTCTGTTTGAATTCAATGGAGAACAACTTGAAAATGTTTCCTTTTCACACATAGGATTGATTTGTAACTCGTAAATTTTTTTTCCCTTCCCACAGATGGAGAAGTGCTAGGAATTATCTAGATAAGGAAAAAAAAGAAAGAGATTGAGAGATTTTTTGCAACTTTAAAGACCTAGTTTCCCTTTCCCCTTCCTCCAATATATATCAGGAATAGCCTTAGCATGTTAACTCATTCTTTTGAATCAAAAAGAAACCCACGTGGATGATACTTTAGTAGAGTAGGATTTTTACAAGTTAATTGAAGAATGTGGTTAGTCTGGAGAGAAGGGGTTCCAAAGTAATTATATTCATTATCATAGACTTATTTGATTAGTGATTCTTTGTGCAGGACTGTTACCAACTTATGCTTGAGCTTGATAAGGTTGCTGAAAGTGGCTCTGATGTTTGCCTGTCGAATGAAATTGTATCAGCACTCAAAAGGTATATCTAAGGCAAAATTTAGAGATAATTTTCCTGGAATTATAACATTATATGTTTCCAAGTTTCATGATATAATGACAACCCTATCTTCAACGTTTTGAAGTAGTGTTGACCTACTGATTGTACATTTATTTCTCTTAAGAAGTGTTATACATAGCATTTTTCTTACAACAAACAATAATTAGTCTACCAACCAATATACTAACTGCTTGTGTGGCACTGCCACATCAAAATTGTGGCCCCACCCATTTGTCCTCCCTCATCTACCAAGTCCCTTCGCTTATTTCTTTTGGTTTTCCTCACATCTCTCATTATGGCCATAATATGCATAGATATTATATACACTAATCTATTCAAAGACTAATCACAGGGGCTCTGTACCGAAAGAACCAGACTCAATGCACTAATCTTCCATAATCATATGATCAAAACCTCTGCAAACCCCTACTTGTTTTTCTTAGTCTCAAAGAATTCAAACAGCATGCTTCAAATCCATTGATCTTGCACTCTCTCTGCAAACTCTCTTAACGTCATTCGAACCTTGTGTACTACCCACATCTCTGCGAACCCTTCCAAACTAGCAATTTTATCTCCTGTCAACAATCAAAGCATCTCAGTTCCTCTTCTCTTATCAATCCCTATTCCCAAGAGATTTCATAGAGACAAAAGACGAGATGTGAGGGATGAGAGAGAGCACAACGAGAGAAGTATCCAGAAAAAGAGAGAGACAAGATGGAGACGAGGGAAACCGAAAGATGTGAGGCAGATGAACCAGAAAACAAATAGGTGGGAACCATGGCTTTGAGGTTGCAGTGCCACATAAGCTGTTGGTATACTAGTTAGTGCGTCTAGCTTTATTGGTGGTAGAAACTTTACTCTTTTGCTTCTAGTCATAGTTAGCAAATTTTGTATGGTAAGGAGCAAGGTAGGTAATAGATGCCCTTATCATTAGAAATGCCAACAGTATCTCTGGTATAGAACTTTGAGAGCTGCTTCTGCTTCTTTTTCTTTTTCTTTTTCTTTTTCTTCTATCATTTTGATAAGAAAGAGCATGTTAATTTTGAGGAACTTGAGGATTGAATATTATATATTTTTTACCACACAAATTGTAGCAGCAGAACCATGTCTGTACTCTACATCTTCAAACCATTGGTGGGGACTAATGTAGATGTGTGACTCCCCTTATAACAATATGAAGTAAATTCCCACGATCCAATTCCGTTTAGTAATTGAAGAAAATTTCACAAATGTACTTCTAAAGTGTCCAGTACAGTGCTATAACTGCATTCTGCCCCTTTGCATCTTCAATACAACCGGCCACAATTGGTCTGATGTTCGTAGAAAAATAAGCATAGATCTAAATTTCTAGTGAATAAACTTGTGTCAAATGTCCTGTCAAGCCCAGGTATATTAGGATATATGCAAGGTTTTGAATTCTCATCTTCTTTTCAGAATCATTTGAAGGAAGAAAGAAAAGGAAAGAGACCCACTTTATGAACAGTTTTTAACGATGATAAATGTTAGTTTGTTTCCATGTGAAGCCCAATAACAATTTGGTTGTTCTTTTTTAAGTTTTTTTTAATCTTCTAATCTTCAGCAAAAGTTTTACAAAGAGAAATATATTTTTTACATTTAATGATCTTATGACATTTGGAATGACCTATGGTGTCCATTTTTATGTTGATCCATATTTAGTTGAATTTACATGTTGAGACATCATCTATTTTGAATTTTTCCTTCTCCTCAGAAAAAAAATAGAAATAAAAATATACTAGTATTTGATCTTGGTCATTTATACTCATTCTTGCCCCAATAAGGTAATCTTTCTTTTTCGTGATTTTTCTTTTGAGTCAATTATCGGGCAAATATTTTCCAAATGCAACAATGGTTCCTAAATACTGTTGATTTCACATTAATAGATATGAGAAGAAAAGAATGGTACGTGTCAATGTAGTCCACACAATGAGCCGAATGGCGTCGAAAATGCTTGCTAGTTACCGACCTTTCATGGATTTTGGATCTGGACCACTGTCTGTAAGTTTTGTGTACCCTATTTCATGCTTCAATCTCTAGTACTTCCTTTTCTTTGAATTTTAAATGGAATTTTTCTTTTTTTTGTGTGTGTTTACTGTTGCAGCATTTGTCAACTTGGCAGTTAAGGCATCCTGCAATTCCTGTTGCACGAATATTTCTGCAAATATTTTTGCCACAATACATGATTTGGATGATAGCAGGCCATGGGTAAGGAGAAAAAAACATATCTGCAGTTTACTTTCTTTGCCAATATCTACATTTCGAGTGTCATAGGACTCATTCAAAATACTTCAAAATTGTTTTTATAGTCATCATCATCGTCACCAATTTCATAACACAAAATATCAGTCGTTTTGGGGGAATGATTGTGCACTATGAAGCATGGGTACTCTAAAAATATTAATATCGGGTACTTACCTGATACGGTTGTATGTCGTTGTCTACTTTTAGGTTTTTCTGTATCAACGTACTCATACCCACATCCATTCCCACATTCGAGCTTACTAGATTGTGGATTAGCATTTAGCATTTGGGATGCTAACAAATCTACATATTTTAAGTTTGAGCAAGATTTTTTTTTCTGAACAACTCTGCACTTAATAAGAATTTTTATTTTTTTCTTAGACTATTGAATGACATTTGAATTTGTAATTATAATTGCTATTGAACATTCTCTTAAACTTCTTTAGGTTCTCTTAAAACCTCAAATAAGACTTAAGTTGTTAAGCGACTCTCAAATAAGACTTAAGTTGATCTGAACCATTTACATTTTAGGATTCGTCAAGTATGGCATCCATGCAAAAAATCAAATTGATTGGATAACGGCAACCACATGTTCAAATTAGTTTTGTATGAAAAAAAGACAGTGAGAAAATAAATAGTTTATACAAAACCGATTCGAACACATGGTTATCATTATCCGATTGACTTGATTTTTTGCATAGATGATGTACTCGACGAACGTTAAAATGTGATTGGTTCCGATCATTGAAATGGGGCCCAAAAGTGGGCTCACGTTGCGGACTGGAAGGTCCAATCTTGATCTCTAGTTCATACAAGACTGATTTGAACACGTGGTTGCCGTTATCCGATCAACTTGATCTTTTGCATGGATGATGTACTCAACAAACTCTAAAATGTAAATGGTTCTGGTCAACGAATCGGGACACAAAAGTGGGCTCATGTCGCAAACTGGATAGTCCAGTCTTGATCTCCAACTAGAGACAACTTAGACCCTTGATTTATATAGTCTAGAGGCTCCTCCATCCATTGGCAATTGGTTTTGGGTTGGATGCCTCCAATATTCTAACAGGGAATCTGACTTTTGGTTCCAAGAGGTCCGAGATTCTAGCCTGTTCACCCCCTTTATCTTTGTCACTATGCACTCTATTCTGCATGTCTTTGTGCACTACCTTGTTCACTCAATCTATTTAGTTTCATATACATTGTTTGACTCATTTCTTAACACCTTAACCTTGTGGTGTTAGTGGTGATCTAAAATGTTATTAGAGATGGGATTTGGGTGGTCTCTCGGGCCAAAGCTCCACCCCAATGCTATTGTTCTTGTTTTGTTCATCTTTTTATGCGACTGGGCTGCAGGGGAGTTTTGGAAATTGATCCCCTGTCAATTTCTATCCATTGCCAATTAGTTTTACGTTGGCTCCCCCAAATATTCTAACGTCATTCGAGCTTTGTCTACACAAGTCCTAGTTTCAAATTTTTTTAACAAGGACATAATGTTCATAATATAGTTAAAAAAATTGCATGTGATTCTTATGTGACTATTTTCTATTAATTGCACTAACATTAGTGATGGAGGGGTGTCAAAAGTGGTAGCCCCAAGGGTGTAATAGTTTTTGAGAAAAGTTAGGGATCATGAAAATGATCATGAAAGAGTTATCATCCTTGGATTATCTTGATTAGTGTGTGGTGCTTTATTCTAAGTGTAATTCAAGGGTCACAAAGCTTTCATGATTATTTTCATGAAAAAATTTTCATGATACCTAACATTGCTGATACTTTTTAGGGGTGCGAGTTAAAAATGGGTCACAGCTCAAAGGGTGTTAGACTTTGCTAGTTAAAATATGGAGATTGCAGTTAGTATTCTTCAATGATCAATTTGGAATTTGATAAATTAAAGGTTTTTTTGGGGGGGGATCAATATTTGGTCTCCTTGCAGATTGTGGTGACAGAGAAGATCAAAAGCACTTAAGTAATTCATGGCTTTTGGGTGAAGGTTCCACATGATTGTCTTTGGTTATTTCATTGAACTCAAAGCCAATACAAGAGGTTTTATGCTTAATTGCTGTTTGGGCGTTTCCATTATTTGAAAAGCATCATTATCACCTCTATTGGTTGACTCTTATTTGTGAAGGAAAGCCAGAAGAGTTGCTTAGAAAAAAAATAATCTCTATATGAAAAAAAAAAAAAAAAAAAAAAGTATTGTATATGGGTGAGGTATTGCATAGTATTGTTGTAGTTATTGTTATTGTTATTGTCATGTGCTAATTTTCACTAATCACTAATTGGAATTCTCCCATGTTATCTCCCAAAATTTAACATAAATGTGATGAGCTTCACTGTCAAACTATTCACAACCAAAGAAGCCGCTCCACTTTACAATACCTAATATTGCACTAGTAATTGTTCCCATATTTTTATTTGGTTTGGAAAATGATGTATGGGTGTGTTTGGTATGTGTTTTGAAATATATTTTTGAAAGAAAATTTTTAAAAATATATTTGGTTATAAATTTTTTCAAAAAAAATTCAAAATTACTTCTCTCTATTACACATTAATTAATCACATTTTCTCTCTTTTCTTTCCTTCTCAATCATTTTTTCTCTCACACATATTTACTCAACTACAACAAAATATCAAATCATCTTAAACTCTCAAATTCTAAAACTATTTTCAAAATATACAACCAAATAAATTAAAAAAAATTCTTAACTCTTCCCAAAAAAAATTTAAAAAATTTATCTCAAAACACAAACTAAACACAATATGTTTATATGATTTTTGTATGGGCCTGACTTTCCTCTAGTCCCAAATCAGATTGGAGAGTGTTGTTGGGCCCGTGGAGGCTCACCACGGGTTTCATTTCGATAATTCGAATCGCTCAATACGTAGATCTCATCGAGTGTTATATGCCTGTAAAAAATCACGTTGATCGGATATTGATAGCTATGTCATCGATCAATTTTCTGTCAACTGTTTATTTTTTCACCGTCTATTTTTTTTTATATACAAAACTGATTTGATCACATAATTATCGATATCTGATCAACATGATTTTTTATAAGCATATAGTACTCAA